TAGTAGATTCAGTGGTAGTAGTGGTAGTAGTAGAAGTAGTAGTAGTAGTAGTAGTAGTAGTAGTAGTACTAGTAGTAGTAGTAGTAGTAGTAGTAGTAGGTAGTAAGTAGTAGTAGTAGTAGTAGTAGTCGTAGTAGTAGTAGTAGGTAGTAGTAGTAGTCGTAGTAGTAGTAGTAGTCGTAGTAGTAGTAGGTAGTAGTCGTAGTAGTAGTCGTAGTAGTAGTCGTAGTCGTAGTAGTAGTAGTAGTAGTAGTAGTAGCAGCAGCAGTAGTAGTAGTAGTAGTAGTAGTAGTCGTAGTAGTAGTAGTAGTAGTAGTAGTAGTAGTAGTAGTAGTAGTAGTAGTAGTAGTTGTAGTAGTTTGTAGTGGTAGTAGTAGCCGTACTATTAGTAGTAGTAGTCGTAATCATTGTAGTAGTGGTGGTCGTAGTAGTAATAATAGCAGCAGTAGTCGTAATTGTAGTAGTAGTAGTAGTAGTAGTAGTCGTAGTAGTAGTATCGATCGTAGTAGTCGCATTATTACAGTCGTAGTCGTAGTAGTAGTACTAGTAGGCGTCGTAGTCGTAGTAGTAGTCGTAGTAGTAGTCGTAGTAGTAGTAGTAGTAGTAGTAGTAGTAGTAGTAGTATATAGTAGTAGTCGTAGTGGTAGTAGTAGAAGTAGATGTAGAAGTAGTTGTAGTTGTAGTAGTAGTAGTAGCAGCAGCAGCCGCAGTAGTAGTAGTAGTAGTAGTAGTAGTAGTACTAGTAGTAGTAGTAGTAGTAGTAGTAGTAGTAGTAGTAGTAGTACTAGTAGTAGTAATTGTAGTAGCACTAACAGTAGCAGTAGCAGTACTCGTAGAGCAGATAAGATGTGTACTTCTAGGTGTCGCAAACGCAGTCGTATCATAAGTAGTTGTAGAAGTAGTAGTAGTGGTAGTAGTAGTAGTCGTAGTAGGAACATTGATGTTGTCGCCGTCGTAGTAGCTTTAGCTGTAAAATTTGCAGTGCTAGTAATACTAGTAGCCGCCCTCGTAGTATTATTCGTAGTCTTTGCAGCAGAAGTAGTAGCAACAGTCGTGGTAGAAGTAGTTGTTGTTGTCCTGGTGCGGGTAGTCGTAGTCGTAGTTTTGCTCGTTGTAGTCGTAGTTGTAGTAATAGTCGTCGTAGTAGGCTCAGTCGTAGTCGCAATATTCGTTGTGGTCGCCGTCGCAGTAGTAGTAGTAGTAGTAGTAGTAGTAGTAGTAGTCGTAGAAAGAAAAGTAGTAGTGGTAGTGGTAGTGGTCGTTGTAGCAGTCGTAGTAGAAGCAGTAGTAGTAGTAGTAGTAGTAGTAGTAGTAGTAGTAGTAGTAGTAGTAGTAGCAGTCGTAGTAGTAGTAGTAGTAGTAGTAGTAGTAGTAGTAGTGGTGGTGGTGGTGGTAGTAGTAGGAAAAGTAGTAGTCGTAGTAGTAGTACTAGTAGTCGTCGTCGTAGTAGCAGTAGTGGTACTAGTAGTAGTAGTAGTAGTAGTAGTAGTAGTAGTTAGTAGTAGTAGTAGTAGTAGCAGTCGTAGTAGTAGTAGTAGTAGTAAGTAGTAGTAGTAGTAGTAGTAGTAGTAGTAGTAGTAGTAGTAGTAGTAGTAGTAGTAGTAGTAGTAGTAGTCGTAGTAGTAGTAGTAGTAGCGGTAGTCGTCGCAGTAGTCGAAGTAGTAGTGGTAGTAGTAGTAGTAGTAAGTGTAGTCGTAGTAGTCGTAGTAGTAGTAGTAGTAGTAGTAGTAGTAGTAGTAGTAGTAGTAGTAGTAGTAGTAGTAGTAGTCGTAGTAGTAGTAGTAGTAGTAGTAGTATTTGTAGTATTTGTAGTAGTAGTAGTAGTAGTAGTAGTAGTAGTAGCAGTATTAGTAGTAGTAGTAGTCGTCGTAGTAGTAGTAGTAGTAGTAGTAATAGTAGTTGTAATAATAGCAGTAGCAGTAGCAGTAGTAGTAGTAGTAGTAGTAGTAGTCGTAGTAGTAGATGTAGTAGTAGTAGTAGTAGTAGTAGTAGTAGTAGTAGTAGTAGTAGTAGTAGAGTAGTAGTAGTAGTAGTAGTAGTAGTAGTAGTAGTAGTAGTAGTAGTAGTAGTAATAACAGTAGTAGCAGTAGTAGCAGTAGTAGTAGTAGTAGTAGTAGTAGTAGTAGTAGTAGTAGGATCGGTCGACACTTTAGTATGTATGCAGGTCGTCAGTCAGGCGGGCAGTAGCGGCAGAGGTCGCGGTAGTAGTCGCGGTAGTGTCAGAGCAGTGGTCGTAATAGTTGTAGAAGTTGCAATCGTACGAGTAGTTATTGCATCAGTGGTGATGGTGGTTGTGGCAGGGGTAGTGGCAGTTGTGAAGATCGGCTGTTTGTTGGTAGGTGTGTCCATGGCCACCGCGTCTCTGTCTGTCCCTCCGTCCTTTGATCCATCCGTCTCCCGCGCGCCCCACTTGTGCGTCTTTTTTGCGCCATCCGTCATTCAATCCATCGCCCCGCATCCCGCGACCAGTGGCCCTCATCCAGCGACCGCTTGACCGCAGGAAGCGGAGGAGTTGGCCATCCAGGCCGAGGTTGAGGCCCACCCAGGTTCTGAGAGGGCCGGGAGGAGGGACGAGAGCGAGGGAATGGGAGGGTAATGAGCGTGATGAATTCGGCCAAAGCTGCAGGACCACGAAGACGGAGATGCCATGCTAGATGACGAGGGTCACGATGGTGGCGATGGTGACGGAAGTTATCTCGATGATCATGGTGATGACATTGCTCCAGTGTTCGTGGCACTGGGCCGATAGCAAGCACGAACAGGTACAGTAGGTGATCCGCGCCTGGCTATTCGTGCGTTGTTTTTTTGTGAAGTGTAGGCGTTCCGCGAAGGGCCGAAGATCCCGAAGCAGTGCTTGCACCAGCACTCAAGGGTTACGAATTCACATCGAAGGAGCCTGACCCAGACATCCTCCGATCTGGTTTCTCACGTCGCGGTCCCAAAGGGCTCCCGACCCCTTTACTTGAGGGTTGTCTTTCGTCCCCGATCCATGTCTGATAAGCCCAGGCCTGACAACTGGCTTGAGAGGACGAGCTCGAGGAAACACGTTTGGATTGAACATCTGGGGATCTGGAGATCTTGGGGATCTGGGAGATCAGGGGATCTGGGTGCCGGAGATTTGGCCGCCGAGTCTGGGGAGATCTGGGAGATCTGGGGACATGGGAGTTTGCTAAGGTCGCCGGAGATTTGGGGAGCTGGGTGTCGTTCTCTGCGCCGTCGCCACCGCGTCCAGGGCGCGAGGTCCTGCAGCTTCCCGTCGCTCTGCGTCCCCCCTCCCCCCCACTCGGGGGGGGGCAGAGAGGGGGGTGATGACCAGGGGGGGGTGGATCTCATGGCGTGGGCCATGGTATTTCCCCAGATTTCGTGGCGCCTCTTCTTATGTCATTGCGTCCCTGGCGCCCCCTTGGGCCGCGCACATGCCGCCGGCCATGATTTGCACCCCCCCCCTCTTGGACGCCCCCCTCCGGGCCGCCCCCGACCCACCCCACCAAAAAAAAGAGATATCAACTCGTTCGAGGGTCGAGGGAGTTGACATCTCTTCCTCGGCGGAAGGCCAGCGGAGGCCAGTGGAAGAAGATCGAGGCCGCCTCCGCCTGCGGAGCCCCTCTGAAGCCTGCGAAAGTAAGAATCCCCGTCCCTGGCAGCCCCCGTGCGTGCTTCCCCTTGCCCACCCCCCCGAGAGGATCGTGAGTGCTTCTGTAGCGCCGCCTCCGTTTGACCTTCTCGCGCGGCCCGCCACGAGACGGCCTGTTGCTGAGAATTGCGGGCGGGATCGGTGCTCCAATCCCGGGGCGTGCGAGAAAAAAAGAAGCGACCAAGACTGCGAGAGCAAAGCCGCCAACCGTGGATTTACCCCTGTCTGACCCCGCCCCCCTCCCCCCTTCCCACCAGTTCGCAAAGCTGGCTCGCGGGCCGGGCGGCGCAGGCCGCGCCTGCATCCAGCTTTGCACACTGTGTGGGCGGGGGGGGGGGCGGCGGGGGGAGGGGCGCGGCGCGCCGCGCGCTGGCTTCGCGCTCGTCTCTGCGCGTGCCGAAAAGGGGGGGGCGGGGGGAGGGGCGCGGCGCGCCGCGCGCTGGCTTCGCGCTCGTCTCTGCGCGTTCCGAGATGTGGTCAGAGTGAAAAAGCAGGCCGCGCGGACGTTCTGGGCGGGTCTTCGGGCGTAGTCGCTCGCGCAGATGGCAGTTTTTTCGCGCGCGCCGGTATTGTGTACATACATACGCACTTACACATATACACACCTACATACACATGTACATGCATACGCACACACACACACACGCACACACACATACATGTGCGTATACATCTACTGATCCATATACATGTACATGTAACTATACACATGCATATACGTATTCATACATGATACCAGAGAAGCACCCCAATCAAATTCTTTAGGGCTAGATTGCAATGGGGCAATTGGGCTATAGGGCGATGGGGCTATGGGGCTATAGGGCTATGGAACTATAGGGCTATATGACCATAGGGCTAGGCCTATAGGGCTATGAGGCTATAGGGCCATTGGGCTATAGGGCTGTAGGGCTATGGGGTTATGGGGCAATGGAACTCTGGGACTATGGGGCTACAAGGCCATGGGGCCACAGGGCTATGAGTCTACAGGGCTGTGGGGCTGTAGTGCTATAGGACAATAGGGCTCTACGGATCTAAGGCTATTGGGCTATAGGGATATCGGAATATGTATATGTATGTATATATATATGTATAGAACTATCAGGCTGTTGGGCTATAGGGCTATAAGGCTATAGGGCTGTAAGGCTATAGTGCTACAGGATGATTGGGCAAGTGGGCTATAGAGCTATGGGGTTATGGGGCTATTGGGCTACAGGAGGCCATAGGGCTACAGGGCTATAGCGCTATAGAGCTATAGGGCTATTGGGCGATAGGGCTGTAAGGCTGAAGAGGCTACGAGGCTATGGGGTTATAGGGCTATTGGGCTATAGGGCTACAGGTCTATCGGGCCATGGTTCTATAGGGCTATAGGGCTGTAAGGCTATAGGGCTATGGGGCTGTAAGGCTAGAGGGCTATAGGGCTATAAGGCACCCGGGCACCCGGGCACCGGGGCGGGCCGCGGAAATCGGCGGCACAGCCCACCTAACCATATGAATCCGCTAGGACCCCTACTGGGGCAAACTCTGATAGGGGAACATATACATTTACATGTACGCATACATACACATATTCTTATACATCCATACATCTATACCTACATACATGCACACGTGCAGACGTACACATATACATATATATATATATATATATACCCAAGACTTGAAGCTCGCTGCGCTTCGCTTCCACGTCTTGCTACCTTGCGCTGTACGTAGAGGTGGGCCTGGCGGCAAGCGCGCAGCGGAAGGGAGAAGAGCATGTCAGTCGATGAAGACGAGGACGCATGGGAAGAAATGGACAGATTGCCTGGGGGTTTGTCACGTCGCGCCGCGCCTACTGGCGCGGCGCGACCCTGCGTGAGGTCGCACAAACACGGGTTTGTGGTATATTTGTTTCTGCCGTCCTTCTCCTTCTTTCTTTCCTTTTTTTTGTTTCTCTTTGTCTCTCTCTGCCTGTATGTCTCCTTAGAATGGGCGTGCGAGACGCGGCCCCCGGGGGCGGCCCTGGGGGCAATGCAATGTCGTCGTGCCGAGGTGCTGTTGCTGAAATGTATTTTGGGTGACTTGGCGCACAGACTGAGGCATCGAAGGGTCTGGGCAGCGAGCGCGGCGCGGCAGCGCAGGAGGCTGGCGTCGACGTAGACGCGTCTCGGTTGGAGGGAGCGGGAGGCGAAACAGGAGCGAAGAGAAGGGGGCGAGCATGGAAGCGGCCTGCCGCCTCAGACCGCACATCATTTCCTCGCCCTCTCGGCGGGCTTCTTCGCGATGGCGCCGCCCTGGGTGGCCGCCGCATGGCGCTTGTGCGCGGTCGCGGTGGCGGCTGGCGACGTGGCCGCCGGGTGCGTCAGCGGGACAGTCGGAGACGACTGCGTCGAGTTTCCAGTCGTCCTCGCCGTTGCCACTCTGGAGCCAGGGCGCTCGCAATAATACAATGAGATGGGCTCTGGCCGTGCGCTCGCCGATGCCGCGGTGCAGGAAATCTTTCATGAGGGCGCGCTCGTACTTGCGACGCAGGGAGACGGGCGCGGCGCCCTGTTCTAGAAGCACCAAAAATGCAAATCGGAGTTGGGCGGCTGCGTGACGAAGAGCGATGAGCTCGTCGAGGACGGCGCGGGCTTCGTCGTCGCGGACGAACTGGCCCGTCGCACGCAGCGTCTCTTCGTATGTGGGGTAAGTTTTGCCTCCGTGCGTCCTACAATCGTCAAAGGATGCTTTGGGGAAGTTGAGTAGAATGTGCCGGCGGTAGGGCACGTCGCCTTGCTTCGGGAATTTCATTTCCAAGCGACAGAGCGGGGGCTCGCCTCTGAGTCGCGGGTACGCGTAGAGTTGCTTAGGCCCAGGAGCGCGACCGCGCACCGCCGCAGCTTGTGCAGGGCAAACAGAAGATGTGATGTAGGTTTCGAAGTACTCGTTGTATCGCATGTCGTCAAATGGCTGCCCGAGCGGTCGGTAGAACTAGCGCTGCAGAGGCGATGCATGGGCGTCCAACGCGTTCGCCTCGTCGCCCTCGTCGAATACGATCCATTGCTGACCAGGTAAATGTACGGGGAGACAGACGACGTGAGGCCATCGGTCGTATGTGTCGTAGCCGAAAATGCGCCAGGCAGCCTGTGTTGCGCAGAGATACTTTCCCTTCTGCCACTCGGAGATTTCGTCGACCACCGTCGCGTCGAGAGTGACGTCGTAGTTAGTCTTTGATGGCCCTTTGAACAGGAACTTGTAAAGGTATTCAAACAATTGGCGGCCACCTCATTGACGCCCTCGCGCCACTCCAGCACGATGTTGGCGTTTGCAGCAGGCGTATTGTGCCGAGCGAAACGCTTGATCAGCTTCATATGAGAGTTCCGCGGTACAATGAGCTTTTCGAGTCGTTGGGTCATGCGCTTGTCAAGGCCCTGGAAGGCGGCGTTGGCCCAGCGCTCTTGGGGGTCGTGCGCGAGATAACGCAGCGGAACCTTGTCAGACAGTGAGAACACACGCCGGTATAATGCGCCATGGATGCGGATGTTGGCTGGTCGACGCGCGTCTCCAAATCGAAACTCTTTCTCCCCAGCGCTGCATTGAATCTCGTGCTGCGCCGACGCGAACAGGCTGTTGTAGCGTCTGGGCAACGCCGTAAAGCCAGCGTGGCGCGGCTGGCCGGCGTGAGCGTCGTGCACTTGAACGCCCTTGCCGTCTTTGAAGGGCCAGTGGGAGGCGAAGATGTCGCAGAGGGACTGGTCGGGAGGCTTGAAATACATTTTGAAGTCGACGATGTACTTGCCGCGGTTGCAACAGAACGTTTTGGACTCAGACGCGAATAGCATGGCGTTTCAGCGCTCGCATTGGTAACGCAGCGGGCCCAATGAAATAGAAGTCGCCATTGATGGTGGACGGCCGCGTTGTTCAGAGCGAGCCCCTGTGCAGTCCAGGCATATG